TGAGGCAGGAGAATGGTAGCAAGTTCAAGACCAGCCAAGGCTTCAAAGTGAGCTCAAGGCCAGCTTGAACTGCATAGTGAGACTGTGTCTCAAAAAGACAAAAAAGAATTACAATAAAAAACACATTGCTATTAGTCCCCCACAGAATATTCCCTCTTGCCTCACACACATTCATTCTTGCCACTTTCAGCAGCAGCTCTGGAAGTCTTCTTCCTTAAGTGCTTTTATTATGAGGTATGATCAGAAATACAGTGAATGCAGCGGTCAAGTGTCATTCAGTAGAAAGGCAAGCTCAGAAAAACATTATAGTATACACAGTCACCAGATTTGGCACTGTGGGATTCCTGGTTCTTCCCCAAAGTCAAAATAACCACACAAGCTAAACATTTTTTTTTTTGTCTTTTTCATTTTTATCTGTACTGGGGACGGAACTCACGACCGCCTGCTTGCAAGGCAGGTGCTTATGCCGCTGAGCTAAACCCCCAGCTCCTAGCTAAATATTTTGGATCGATTCAGAATACAGAAGCAGCCACAAGCAAAGTCACTCACATAAGAGGACTTCAGACACTGCTTCAGAAAGTGGCAACAATAAGCTAAGTGTGTTCAAAGTGAAGGAAAGACTTGGAAGGGGAATTATGTCAGTGTGTTTTAACTGTAGTAAATTTTTAAATGTTCACTGTGGTTCTATCACACTGTATATATACACACACATATAATACTATTCTTCTTGAAGAAAGGAAATCCAGCGATATGCAACAGTATAGATGAACCTGGGAGGCATTATGCTAGCTGAAATAAGCTAGTTGCAGACAAACAGTGCATGATCCTACCTATATGAGGCACCTAAAATAGTCAAACTCATTGGAACAATAGAATGGTGGTTGCCTGAGGCTCTCAGTGGGGTGGGGAGTTGTTCAACAGGAATAAAGTTTCAGTGACGCAAAATTAATAAGCTCTAGAGATCGGCTGAACAACACAGTACCTATAGTTAACAATACTTTATCTGTTCCAGAGATCTGCTGAACAATGTAGCCTTTATAGCTAACTATTTTATTATATACTGAAAATTTTGAGAGTAGATCTGTTAAGTGGTCATAATGCACATAGGAAAAGATGGAAACTTTTGATTGCAAGGATGGTTTTATGGGTGCCCGCTGGTGTTCAACTTAGTAAACTGTATGTATACATTAAAAATGTACTGTTTTTAATATAAAATCAATTAGACTTCAATAAATCTGTTTAAAAATAAAATTAAAGCAGAGAAGAAAGATTTCTTCAAAGAATTTCAATCTTCTAGTGTATTTCCACAATAGTGACCTTACATATAGTGGCACCCACATGTTCATTAAACTGACAGGTTGATGCCTATTTCACAAATATCTGTATCTTACACTAGTAAGAAGCTCCTGGCATTGGTACAGGATTGGTGCTGGATTTTCTCATATGCTGTCTGTCTTTAATAAGACAAATCTTTATAACCTAGTTTTCCTAAGCAAATTCAACTAATAAAGATCTCACCCTTTTTATTTCAACAAAATCTTAAAGCCAGAATTAATCCTCTCAGTGTGTTGACTTTCCTTTGCTCTTGAAATAAAAGAAAAAAGCACAAGTAAAAATGCAGGCATTCACAATTAAGGAAACAAACGGTAAATACCTTGCTTTTCAAGTTCACAGGCTGTCTGCTTCAGCAAAACATGCGTGTGCTGTTTTGAGCCACAACATCTTCTTTCCTCAAATTTCATATCACTCTTTTGTTACCCTAACTCCTCTCCCCATTCCACACTTTTGTTTATAAATTCATTTTACTCAAAGTATGTTATAGAATTAATTCACTATCTTTCTTAATTTTTCATCTATCTTCTTTTGCCTTTTGAAGTGTTAATATTTTTCTGTTCAACTCAGTGACAAATGGACTCCCAGGATCAGCTGAAAATCTTGCATTTTAAAGCTCAAGTAAATATGTATCTATTTTTGTATCTATGTATCTAAATATCAAGTAAAGATCAAAAAATGTGGTAATTAGAGTGTTCTCCCTCACTGACACTAAAACCAGAGATAGAAAGATGGGGACTCAGGAAGTTCTCTTTTCTTTTTCTTCTTCCTCTTGTCTTTAATGATTTATTTTCCTGAGTGCATGGGAGAGAGAGAGAAACAGAGAGAGAGAGAGAGAGAGAGAGAGAGAGAGAGAGAGAGAAGGCGTAGAGAAGGAGGAAAGAAGAGAAAGAGGGAGGGAGGAAAGCAGAAATAGTATAACATTAGTAAATGCTCAAATGCATATAGCTATTATTTAATTAGAAGGAAAGAGATGTAAGGGATATAAAGAATTGAAATAGGAGGAGGAGTAGACTCTTAGAATGAGGAAACACAACGGAACCAGGAGACTCAAAGTTGCAATATTCTGAATCAGTCTACATACAGTAAGTAGCTCAAGGTGACATTTACAAGCTACTGGTAGTTTTCAGTGCTACCGGTGCTGCATTTCCACATGCCAAGGCTGGCTTTTCATCAGGCCCCGTCTCTCTCCACCTCGTTCCTCCCTTTCTCTACCCTGTCGACTCCCTCAGCACACTCATGCAGAACTCTGGCTTTCCGAACCTCTGCTGGTACCAGTCCTCTCTCTTCTTTTTGGCTTCCAATCAGTTCTTATTCCCAGGTGCAGGAGGTGGCTGGCCTGCCTATCTGATTAAGACAATCAGATAAAAACCAATCAATCTCTGCTCAGAAGGTGTACTGCAAAGAAAGAGGCTATTGATTCTAGTGGGACTATACGCATTTGCTGATTCTTGAATAAGTAAGTGCCTTTTCATTGATTCCTCCCCTCCAAAACAATGAAAACATTTATCTAAGTGGCAAATGTACATGGGAACAATTTTTGAACTGAGATATTATGTGGGCTGTTGGTTTAGTTAGAGGATCCCTCATATTCCACTCCCATCAGTCCAGATGTCTGATCAGTCTCAGCCTTCTCCTGATTTTTCTCCTCACTTTTATAAACACCCAGTAAAATAAAGCATTTGGGGACAGTAAAGGTCAGAATCACAGTGAGTAGCGAAGAGCCCAAGAGCCACTCAATGTTGCACTAAAAAAAAATATACATATTGCAAAAATATTAATTTTCATTAAGAATTAGAACTACAGAGAAGTTACAAGAACTGTACAATTAACTACCACATACACTTTACCTAGATACATCAATTAAAGTTTTGTCATACTTATCTTTGTTAAACCATTTGAGAATAAGTTGCATATATACAAATTTATTATATCATTATTATTATTATATCATTACTTCTTAACAAGGGCCCTTTTTTCATAATATAGTACAATTATAAAATCCGAGAAACTTAACATATTCAAACTTAACATAAACTTACCATATTCATATCCATATTCAAATTTTCACAACTGTCCTGAAAATTTCCCTCGTAACATTTTTTTAGGATCATATGTTGCCTTTAGCATCATCTCACTAATCCCTTAATCCTAGAACCACTCCTTAGCCTTCGTCTTTCTAGACTGACTTTTTTTTAAAGAGAATGTTTTTAGTAGAATTCTCCATTTGCATTTTTGATTATTTCTTTGTGATAGAGTCAGCATATGCCTTTTTACAGGGATATCATATGACAGAAATGTGTCCTCACATCACATCATTTTACACCATCACTGGTGACACTGATCATCTGGTTAGGATGGTGTCTGCCAGATTTGTCCACTGTAAAAGTGCCTTAGTTACATCTTTATAATGAATAGAAATTCAAAACTATTTTCAGATTCTGTTCCCCAGCCAAGCTTCACCCAATGATTTTAACTTCTGATAATTCTTGTCTAAAGTCAATTATTACTATAATAGTGTCAAATGATGATTTCATAATTTCAACATTTCCTTATGTATTAGTTTGGGCATCCCACTGTTGAGAGTTTTCATTTTTCTCATTATATTCATATACTTAAAAATTAAGGTTAATGTGTTCATGGATTCTTTTAGAAATTCAATTTCTATGCCGGTGAGGCTGTGGGGGAAAAAGGACCACCACTGTTGGTGGGAATGTAAACTACTACAACCACTATGGAAATCAGTATGAAGGTTTCTCAAAAAAACTCAAAATAGAAATTCTATTTAACCCAGCTATATTTCTTCTATGCATTTTCCTGAAAAAGTTAAAGTTGTATTCAGTTGATTCAGTGAAACACGCATACCCTTGTTTATATCAGCACAACTCATAATTGGTAAACCTTGGAAGCGTTCTATATACCCTAACCTAACATTCTTTATCCATTGATAAAGAAAATGTGGTACATTATACAATGCAATACTATTTATCCATAAAGGACAAATTTGAGTCATCTGTAGGAAAGTGGATGCACCTTGGGTCTATAATGTTAACTGAAACATATTAGAGACAGAAGGTTAAATATTATATGGTTTCTCTTATTTAAGAAACCCGAAGTATAAATAATTTAAAGAGCAAAACAGAAGATAGATGATAGGAAACAGAAGTAGACTGAAGGGGACTTGAGGATAAGGGAGATGGGAAGGCGGGGAGAAGGAATTAAGAAGGATTAAGATGTGGCATGTAGATGTACCGATTCTACACAATGTATTTATTATGCACCACAAACACATACTAATAAAAACCAACCCAATATCTATCATCTCTATTACTATTCATTCTTGATACTTAAATTGCCTCTGATTTGCTAAGTGGCGATACCTACAAACAGACCTTTTTTCTTTGGACCTAGCCTCCTTGACATATACAAGAAATCACTTGCTTTCTGGTTTTCAGATCCTTCAAAGCCCTGGTACGCTCCCTGTCTCTGACGTGGAATGAACCATTTCTCCAAGGAGTCTGATTCCTTTTGGTAGAGAATGATGTTCAGAAACCAAGATCCAAGTTCATATAATATATTTCAAAGTATTAAACTGTCCCTGTTCTGCTCGTCTGGGTCACCACAAGGAAGACTTGTGTGTCGATGTGTGATCCTAACTCTCGCGTTACCTGGGAGACTGCCAATTCTGTTCATTCCACGCAGCCTGCTTGTCGTGAGAAGAAATCTGATTAGCTAAATATTCCTTGATCTTTGCACAGACGCCAACACTTGGAAAATCTGACAGAATCGATGGTCTGTCCCCTCTCCCCAGAGTCAGGTTGAAATAAGTAAACTGTGTCCACGTTTAGGGGGTCCCAGACCTCGAGGTCTAAGGGAGGGTGCAGATCCCTGCGTTAAGTGTTCCCGAAAGTCTTCTCAACTCTTGACATCCCGTGAGGGTGACCAGAGCCTGCCAAAACGGTCCCTCACAGACATCAGCATGTGCCCAGGTTTATGTAGCACCAGCTGAGAAAGGGGCACAAAGAAGAGAGCCGTGAGCAGCGCGTCGCTCAGCCACGTTCCTCACCGCTGCCAAGTTTCGGGCGCCGGGCGCTCAGGTGAGCGATTTTGGCGGGAAGTTCCGCAGGCGGCGGAGAACGACGCGGGGCGCGGAGGGCGCGCACAGGCCGGAGCCCGCGGCTGCACACCGCCGAACGCCCACCAGGGCTCGCTCTCGTCCTTCCACTTCCAGGCCGGGGACCGGGCGGGTCGGCGGGAGACCCCGCCCCTGGCAGCGCCGAGGCGGAGGGAGAGCCAGCGAGCCGCGGGCCGGAAGGAGCGCGCGGCCGGCCCGCGCCCCCTCCCGGCGCCCCCTCCCCCCGCCGCCGACGTCCGCGGCGCTCCGGTCTCCATGGTGACCAATCCAGGCCCGGTCCCGCCCCCGCCCCTCGCCCCGGCCTCCTGACGTCGGCGCACGTCAGCGGCGGCGCGCGCCTGGCTGGGCCCGCGGAGCGGGAGGGAAGAGCGAAGGAGCGGCGGGCGGCCGTGGCCCGAGCAGATCCGCGCCGCGCCGCGCCGCGCTGTCCGCCCTGCCGCCCGCCCTCCCGCCCGCCCGCCCGCCGGCCCGCCGGCCGCTCGCGCTCCAGTCGCCTGGTCTAGCAGCGGGGCCCAGCATGGTCATGGCGGATGGCCCGAGGCACTTGCAGCGCGGGCCGGTCCGGGTGGGGTTCTACGACATCGAGGGCACGCTGGGCAAGGGCAACTTCGCGGTGGTGAAGCTGGGGCGGCACCGGATCACCAAAACCGAGGTGCGGCCCGGGGCTCGGCGGGAGCGTCCGAGGCGAGGGTTCGGGAGAGAGCTCTCTGCGGACTGGGGCGGCTGCAGTGCTGCGACCCGGGACACCCGAGAGGCCGCGCCAGTCGCGGAGGCGAGCGGGCCCGGATCGGAGGACCCAGAGCTTGCTTGGGGTCGGTGAGCCGCGAAGGGATCGGGCGCCGCGTCGCCCTGCCGCGAGTGCCGTGCGCCTGGAACCCCGGCCGGGGGGACTTCGGCTTCCCCTGCGCCAGCCCCGAGGGCCGCGCGGAATTGTGCCCGAAGCCCCCCACTCGGGCTCTGACCGGGTCTGTGGCCTCCGCTCCGGAGCCAAGTTCCGCGTCTTCCCCGCTCTCGGCTGGGGGTGGGGAGGGAGGGGAAGTCTCGGAGCTCTCGGGCTGCGCGATGAGAGACGTCGCCAGCCGGGGAAGAGAGACCGCCTAGGCTCGACCTGCGCGGACCAGGATCGCGCGGCCGCCTGACCCTGGTGTCCTGCTCTGCCCGGCACGGAAGGGGCCCTGGTGGCCGGGGGTGGCCGGACGGCCTCTGTCCATCTTCTCCCCCTCCTTTTGCCCCTTAGTGGCTTTCGTATGGTACCTGGCTAGCTTGATCTCTTCCCTGAGGCATTTCTATTTAATACTCCAGACAATAGAACTGGTTAGAATGGTCATCTCTGCATTTGCACAGATGGTGCCACGGTCTTTCTTATCTGTGGGGTTGTTCCTTTACCAGGTGTGTTTTCTGGCTGTGAGCACGCATTCCTTAAGCCACGTCAGATCGCCTCTGCTCCTGAAGCCCTCAACTGCTTCTTGACGGTGCCTACAGCCTCCCCCCACCCGCTGCACGTTCTCCTGCACCGCACATATTTTCTCCCAAGTCTCTGTTCTTACCTAACCCGCCCCTCCCTCCCTCCGCCTCCTCAAGCTGCTCCCCTCTTCGGGGTCTCTCTTCAAGGCGTGCAAATTAAATACCTTGAAAAAGTGAGCGAGACAGAACCATTCATCAGAGTAATACATAATGGTTTTGATGTTCCCCTCTCTACTTGCTTGTAATTCCCACTGTAGTTTCACCTTGTTCAGTTTCCCCCTTTTAGTGCGAATGTACGAGACTTTCAGCGGAGAATGAAGTAGGACTTTTTCTTTTTTCGCCGATTGACTTATGTAAGGTGAAGGGCATGTGATTTTCGTAGCATTTCACGTTGTACGAAGAAGTTTTGCTTAATGTTCATTTCCAAAGAAGAGGAATGTAATGTCGCTATTTCATGCTTTTTGCGTCCCCCAGCTGATCTTGAAACAGCCCCAATCCGACTTACTTAAGATGTCGTGACAAGGTCACAAACTTTCCTCTCACAAATTTACCAGTGTTAGCAATTTAAATAAGTTTGCAAGGTAACATTTAGTGACATTACTGAATCTTAATCTGATTCCAGGGTTCTTTTTAAATGAAGAAAATAGTTCCATTCTTCTAGAGGCATAGCCAAATGTCATGCCATTTCCCCTTGAGTTACATTTAAAAAGAAAAGCACTTTAAATGTGTATTTTTATGAGTCTTTGTTTAATGACTGTCCAAAAATCAAACAAATTGCAGAAACTGTGCAGAACTTTTGAGCTCTACTGTTAGAATGCCAATCACAGAAAACCAATGAATTTGATAGATTCATGTTCTTTCATTGTTACTGTTTACATTTCTTATTGGTATTACTAGCAAGATTTAATTGCTAACTTATATTTCAGGTCCAATTTACTTAATATAGTATGCATTTAAGAGCTGAATAAGTGAAGCTAATGGTAACTGACACTTTCTTGAGGACGTTGACAATTCAAATGGTGTCCCTTTCAGACTGATATACTTTAGGGAGCTAGGGGGCACTGTGGAGTAATACCATCCTTTGGCTATCAAATGCACTTGCAATTGGAGGCACAAGTTAGATCCTGAAAGAGCTATCAAATCCTAGATTATGTGTATGGTGTAAATGTGCACAGTGATTCACGTTAAAAGCTAAATTTTTAGGCTACGGATCCTGTTTCCTTTGTGCTTTTCTGAAGAAATCATTAACATAAAATAGTGTAAATATAAGATTGGTGAGTGTGAGCATTTAAGGTAATTGGTTTGATTGAAGACCTTAAAGTAGAGAATGATAGGGGAATGGCCTGATAATTGCTGAACAGAAGTGTTTCTAGATCTCTGTAGACTTTGTAAACTTCCTTTTTTTTTTTTTTTTTTTTGGTCTTTTTCATTTTTGTGACATTTCATAGATAATTTGCATTAAGAATTGTTCAGTAAGTATAGATAAAATTGTTTCTTACAGCCTACATTTGTTACTTTTTTTTTATTCATTGGATAAATATTTGTGAGCTTGATAGGTATAACTACCTTAAAACTAAGTAAGATGTCCAATGAAAACTTTGTCATTTTACATTACTTTAGGTTCTTGTACTATAGTAATTGCAATAACAATAGTTACAAAGAAAACCATCAAGGAAATGCGGTTACACTTAACTGCTTACTGAAGTTTCTTCATATGCTATGCTTTAACATCAATAAAAGTTTATGTGCTTTGGAAAATTTTAAGACACTTAGTTTGAGGGGAACAGTTGAATCCTTTTAATTGTCTCTTTATCACTTGTTTGGTATCACTCCAAAATAATATATTGTCTGCGGAGCTTGGAAGATCCGAGTCTTGTTTCCCTTTTACAAAAAAAAATTTTTAATAGACAAAAAAAATCTTCATTTTTATCTTACCTCTCCAATAGCTTAACATTAAGAAATGTAATTACATCATCTGAATCAGTATTCATATGGTAGATCTCTGTGTAAATTTTACACACAAAAGGGAAGGCAGGTGGTGTTAGAATCCAGCCTCCTAGTATTAATACTTCATAAAAGCTTTGTAGTACTGGTTTGTGGTTTCTGAGTTAGAGAAGCTAATTTTATAAAATTAGCATAATAGGAAATGATAATAGCATTTAGGCTATTAAACTATTTTAGTCAATAGTGGTTGCAGGTTTGAATTCTGTGAGTGTCCTTGAGTGGTGTTTTATTTTATTAATAGTGTAGAGGGAAGTAGTTTTTTCCTTCTAACTATACAGGTTTTTTTTTCTCAAATAAAATTCCCGAAAAGCAACTTGTCTGCTTATTGTTTTCTATTTAAAAATATTTTATGGTAGTATAGCACTCTTAAAAAATGTCTGTATAAAATTCTTCTGCCAGTGGGAATACCCCCTCCAATGGGGATTGAACCCAAGGTCTTCACACTGAGCTACACAGTTTATTTTTATTTTTTAATTTTTTTGAGACAGGGTCTTGGGGAAATGCCCAAGATGTGCTTGAATTTGCAATCCTCCTGCCTCATCCTCCCAGAGTGCTGGGATTATGCACCTGGGCCATCATGCTGAGAAGGAATAAGTTACTCTTAACATTACATCACATTTCTCTCCAGTCTTTTTAAAATCATTTCTCCATGAACAGCACATGGTACAATATGTGTTACAGTCCTTTTTTCCTACTTAACTTTAATATCTTAGCATTTTGCTTTTTTATGCAACTTTACATAACATTTTAAGTGGTTGTGTTTTACTTTGTAGATGGGAATATGGGCCCCATCTTAATGATTCTCTTATTACTGAATTATTACATAGTTTTTGGTTTTTACTTATAGTAAATAATTGGCAGGGAATATTTCTGTATATATAACTATGTATTTTGAATTTTTTTAGGGGAGAGAAATTCCTGGTAAATTCCTAGAAAGGAAATTATGAATAAAGGTATTTTTACATTAAAGAGTTGTGTATTTTAATTATCAAATGTATCATGTCGATTATTGAAAAATTTGGAAGTATAGTTAAGTGAAAAGAATTATCCATATTACCATTACTCAGAAATAACCATCATCAGTTATTTTCAGAGCTTTCCTATAACAGATAGCTAAATTTTCCTCAACAGCGTGTCTTTTCTATTGTTTAAAGAACATAAACTTATAGTGCATGGGATCTTACAGATATTTCACAGAAGTTTTGAAAATTACCTAATTAAAATGGTAGGTAGATGTTAGGCTACTTACTCATCAGTGGAACTAGGAATGCAGAACTGATAGAAGAACATTCTGAAAACTGCTTTTGTTTACTGAAAAGCGTTCTGTGTGCATCTTAGGACTTTTAGGCATAATTTTTAAACTACTACCATAAAGTGTAGGATTTTTAAAAGTTCCAAAATGGTTAAAGTTCAAAACTGTGTTTTAATAGCAAGTGTAAAAACACAGAGAAGGCTGTATAACACCATGATTGTAATGTCTCCTGAAGAAAAATTGTTTTTAATGGGTTGGATTTTATATTTTACTCTAAAATAGAAGACCCCTCTCAATAATCTTGCACCAGTGTTGTACTGGAAATAATCCAGATTGCAAGAAGCAGTTGTCTGTGCAATAGGACTTGTTACCAAATAACTTAATCATAGTATTTGTACCTAAAACGCTATATGATCTTTAATTATATATTAAAATAGAAATTCTATGTCACAATATATTTGTGCTTTGTTATCGTCGTTTTCTTAGTTTCTTTTTCCCAGACATTTAATGATTGGCAAATTACTCTGTTAAATATTGGTCTTGTTTTGGGAAGGGAACAAATGTACAAATAAGAGTTGTGTAAATTTTTATATTCTGAAGAAATTTTTAACTTTTAACAGAGTTTAACATGTTCTGATTTTAAGTCTTCTGGGAAAATCTATCTCAGTATCAGGCAATTAAGAAAGCATTTATTTGGAAATAAGTGAAACTGGCCTCTTTTCTTGGATGCAATATTTGATTTATGGCCCACCACTGATTGTAGATTGATTTCCTTGGAGTCAGAAGGGGTTCAGAATTCCTAATATCTTTCATTTTTGGTGAACCTACTGCCTTTCCTACCTCTAGCTTTTTGAAGTGAATTATTTATGTTAAAATTTCTTTATACAGAATGTTTGTGGAGAGTACTTTCCCATCTTTGAAGAGAAATAGTC